TAAAAATATATAGAAAAAAAAAACGAGCCGGGCGTGGAGGCGCATGCCTGTCGTCCCAGCTACTCGGGAGGGAGGCCGAGGCGGGAGGCTCGCTGGAGGCCAGGAGGTGGAGGCTGCTGTGAGCGAGGCTGACGCCACAGCACTCTAGCCCGGGTGACAGAGCGAGACTCTCTCTCTCAAAAAATAATAATAATAATAAAATTAAGACCCCGCTATCGAGATATTTAATTGACTTATAATGCAATTAATATACAGTTAATAACATGCGCAATTCGGTGGTTTTCGGTACAGTCAGAAAGTCACGCAATTATCACCATCGTGTCACTTCACAATGTTTTCATCGCACAGCCCCGCCGGAAGAGAATCCTGTGCCCACTAGCAGTCACCCCACCCGTCCCCAGTGTCCTCTGTCACCCCGGCGACAGGGACCCACAAATCGACTCTCTGTCGACCCCGGATATTTGGTAAAAGTGGAATCGCACAACGTGTCCACTTCTGCAACTGGCTACTGTGACCCAGTGTGACATTTTCAAGGTCCGAACTTCGGGTTGGTTTTTTTTTTGAGACAGAGTCTCGCTCTGTCGCCCGGGCCGGAGTGAGCGCCGTGGCCTCAGCCTCGCTCACAGCAGCCTCCAAGTCCCGACCTCCAGCAATCCTCCCGCCTCGGCCTCCCTCCCGAGTAGCTGGGACGACAGGCATGCGCCTCCACGCCCGGCTCGTTTTTTTTTTCTATATATTTTTAATTGGCCAATTAATTTCTATTTTTTTCTTAGTAGAGACGGGGTCTCACTCTTGCCCAGGCTGGCCTCCAACTCCTGACCTCGATAGCAATCCTCCCGCCTCGGCCTCCCAGAGTGCTGGGTTGACAGGCGTGAGCCATTGCGTCCGGCTAATTTTTTAATTCTATATATTTTTTGCTGTTTTGCTCATTTCTTTCTAATTTTTTAGTAGAGACGGGGTCTCGCTCTTGCTCAGGCTGGCCTCCAACTCCTGACCTCCATCGAGCGATCCTCCCCCCTCGGCCTCCCTGATTGCTGGGATGACAGTCCTCGCCCGACTTCCCCTCTGGCAGTCGGCACTGTGTGCACAGTGAGCTCGGCGGCCCCGGCGGTTGTGTCTGGTGCTATCGACTGCCACCTGCAGGGCGGCCGGGCTGGGCCTTGTCCCCCCAGGCCTGACGGGTAAATAGAGGCACAGCTGGAGTCGGGGAGCCGGGGACAGCCCTGCCCTGCCCAGCCTGGCTTCTTGGGGACATGGTCCCCGGGGAGGGGACCCTGGGGAAGGGCCACTAGGGCCTCAGGTGGGCTCCAGGTGAGAGCCGGGTGGTCACCTGCCTTCTGCAGCCCCTCCCCCACGAGCTGCATGGGGGAGGGGCTAGGAGCCTCTGCAGGGACACGACCCGCCACTCCCGGGTCCTCCTAGCACCCCGCCCCCGTCTACACCGCTGCGGGTCCTGTGACCTCTGACACCCCAGCAGTTAATGAACTGCCATGGAGACGCAGCTTCCAGAACCTTCCATGCAACTGACTGCCCTGGGCGCCCACGTGGGCGCCCCGCTGGGAGGTGGGGGGGAGGGGGGGACCTGGCTGCCCCAGGGGACACGCCCTATCTGGAGGCCACGCCCTCTCCGCTGGCCACGCCCTCTCCCTGGGCCACACCCTCTCCCTGGGCCACACCCTCTCCCTGGGCCACGCCCTCTCGAAAGAGACCCGGCCTCTCCCCAGGCCATGCCCATTCCCCAGTGACACGACCTGCGGGGAGACACGCCCTCTCCCTAGGCCCCGCCCCTCCTGGGGAGACACGCCCTCTCCCTAGGCCCCGCCCCTCCTGGGGAGACACGCCCTCTCCCTAGGCCCCACCCCTGCTGGGAGACACGCCCTCTCCCTAGACCCC